TCTTGGTCAAGAGAATTAGAGTTGTGTTCAACCATGCCCGTGCATCATCAGAGCACTAACCTCAGCACTTTTGCCTGCCGTCCTGCTCTCCGCTAAATATTGACCTGACTTGACTGAGTTGACATCCAGAATTTTCCGCTAATGAATCCGCCATTACCAGACATGAGTCGAGGAGACCGAGGAATCAGGCAGTAATGGCAAATTTGTGTACGGGCAAAGCAGCTGCCAAGTGCTCCATCAGGACTTGACACTGAGCAGCTGTAGGCTTCACTGAATGCACTAATACCTAATGCCATCTGGCACTTGTTTTTCCAAAGTATTGCCCAAACCCTGCCCAGTTTGTAATTGAAGTTATCTCTGGTAAAAGAGCATCTACATGTTTGTACTTCATCTTGTATAATCCCAACGGAAATGATGTTTCAGTTGTAAATAGATTAACGGGCTAGGCTGCGTACATATGGTACCTTTGTGTACTTGGCAGAATTGGCACATGATGAGTATTGGAAGGGGCTACATGTACATGTAATGCACAGCTATTGATCTGCCTTTCAACTAACTTTGTTTCATCATGAGAAACTCTGTAATGTCTGCTTAGGGACCTCGCAGCTACTAGTATTACCCGGTATCTAAATGTCCTGCTCTCAAGTTGGGTTTCCTTTCCAAATTGAACAAAGCAAAGTTCTTGCATTTAGCATTAGAAATCAAAGGTTTTAAATGTCACCCAAAAGAGCGAGAAAGGTATCAGTGGAGGCAGAAGCAATTTCTGTTGTTAGACTTTGCACAATCTCATTGCAGTGCTAATTATTGTATGTCTAACTGTTAGAAGCTGAAGTTATACCGCATACCGCAGTCTTCAAGTCTTCAAGATGTACGTTATTCCATCTTAAATGCCACTTTTTTTCCCTTAAGAGTCTGCCATTTCAGGCTACAAGGTTTTTTTTTAACACTCCCTCATGATAAATTGTTTCACTTCCTTGGTAGATCAAAATTACACTTAACCTTTTTACGGTTAGAGGGCTGTAAAGAGTGGAGACATCAGTCATTAGATTAGTTTCTTATGACCGGGTCATTTCTAAATGAGAAAATCAGTCATCTAAATGTATTAAACTCCTGACCTATATTTGACTCTGACCTAAAACTGTCGATCAAGAAGTGGTGAGACTCCATGTTCAGGTATCAGGACCATAAATCTTCTAATGGAACTACTCTCATCAGGTATCTACTTTGTTTGGCCAAATTATGGTTTAAATTTGAGTGTGTTGTTGTAACAGTGGTATTGAGCCTGAATTGTTTATTTCTTGGCAGCGAAGAGTATCATCCATCCACAGGCCTTGAAAGTCTTTTTTTATTGTTTAATACTTGTGAGCTTATAACAAATCAATTTTATGTATCAAGATCACAAGAATCGTGATCTCCATATCTTCACAAGCTACTAGTGGCCCAGACTTGTCTACTACGTGACTTCTTCAGCCCTCACCTTTTCCTGCATTGATCAAATTTCTTTCTGCAAATTGTAGGCGGGTATTTCCAGCCCTGTTTAATATAAAGCTTCGTCGATAAAACCTGTCACCCAAACACATGCTACTCCGCTCGGTACCTTAATGGCCGACAAAGGTCGGCCATAAATTTGGGCCCGTAGATTACGTGTGCTCTAATCACGCGGAGATACGTTTATGGGATGTTTGGAAGTATGCTTTTGGGAATTCGCTGACCCTGACCTAGCCCTTGCATGTATGTATTTACTCCATGTGGTTCATCAATGTTGCACACGTTTGTTGACCCCTTGTAGTTTGCCCCAGTTCTAGTTATCTCCAGGGATGTACACATGTATCGAAACATACGAGGTACAGGCACTATACCTATACCTGAACAAGTGAACAAAGTAACCAGTGGTCTTCGATGATTACAGAAGTATAAAAGGTGTATTTGGACTTTCATTTTGTCTTGCAAAGAATTTACGCTTGGGAGAGCATCTCACATTAAATATAATTATAATGCTGATTTCAACTCCTGTATAATGTTCTCATCTTTTGCCAATGGAAGATATTTATCTTTGTGGAAGGAATTGCAGATGTTTAGTCACAAACTATATACGATTTTACTTAACTGCAGTACACTGGCTTTTAGTTTTTTTGACCTGTGTCTGTGAAACAATTTAGCTGTATAATACCAGTACCAAGCTGTAGCTATTGCTATAACCATACACGACTATCCATAATGATACACTGCCTTGATAGATAGATAAAAAGATGTTTGAATTGGTAATTGAAATCGAGGTACAAAGACACAATTGTTGATGGACAGGCAGATGAAAATTCATTTAGTGGTTAATGTTTTCCAAAGCCTTTGATTCATTCGGGGTCAACAAGTATGTTAGTTTGAAGATAGCACAAAATTTTGAACTTAACCCAGTGGATGCCCATTTCAGCACCAAGGAGAGGGGAAATCTTTAATCACTTACCCATGCATATTTAGAAAACCGTGCATAGTGTTGCTTGATTGGAAAGAAAATATAATGCATACAGGTGTGTGTTGATCAAACTGTTAACAACATTTTAAACAAAAGTTGAATGTAGTGTCTTTTTTTCTTTTTAGTCCTCCTCCTTCAAAGTCAGAACTGCAGGGAAACTTCTCGGCGGTTGCCATACCAACAGGACACGCCCTGGTACAGCCTGAGCTGAAGAGGTAGGATTGTTACTTTATACATGTAGCTGTCTTAGGCCTGGGAAAAAATGCAGTGTTTCCTGTTTCATGACTGACCCTAGAAAAAACTGCTGACCCTAGCCTTTTTTTGTGTGCGGACCCCTGCAAAGGGCATCAATTTTTCAAGCTGATCAACCTTTTCTAGCTCCATGATCTGACACCTGAGTGATGAAGCATTGTACAATCAGACATTGATATTAGAAGTACAAGTGTCCTCTTGCAAGTTTTTCTTTTTTCAAACTGTATTGTATATATTGGATCACTAGAGATTGCCAAACTTTCTGAAAAAAAGAAGAAGAAAAGATACCTACCTACATGTACCAACCCTTTTTTACAGGACTGAAACAGGAAACACAACTGTTACATTTTTTTCCTAGGCCTTAGTGCAATAGTGGTCTTGATGTCCTAGTGGTTTAAGGTTACTTGCTGCCTCCATCCTGTGTTTGATTCCTGGGATTTCTGACTTGTCGCTGTGTCTATGGGAAAGACACTTAACACGACTTTCCTCACTTCAACCACTTGTTAATGGGAATCTTTCTTTGGTTGGGGAGGTAAAAGGTTGGGATGGGATTTCCCTTACAAACATTGGATTATCATTTAATAAAAACCCACTGCCCCTACAGCCTCAAAAAGGCTAGTAGTCATAGTTATTTTTGTCAATCATAATGTCAAGTAGACTAATGTGCCATTAATCTGGTTTGTTATCATTTTGCAGGCATGACCCTATCAGCCCAGACGAACGTCCGAAAACGTTGCTGCTCAGCAAGACCGTCCTGAAACCGCCGAGCAACCGAACCAACCTGACGCAGGCCGAGGTGTCCGGACCACTGCGCACCCGGTTTCAGGAGAGGATAGTGGACGCCAAGCAATGGAGCTGGAACAGGACAGCAATGCTGGAGCTAAGGTATGCATATCGTCCAGTGTAACACAAACTCTCACTGTCAGGGGCTTCAGTGTTTGTGGACATAGAGATACATGTAGACCTCTAACTAATGCAAACACAGTTTCAGAGAGATAAAAAAAGGCCCAAAAGAGACTAATATGGAAAGTTGTGCAAAACAATACAGTTCAATCAATCAATAGCCTTGGTGCCATGCAAAACGAGTGCTAAGGAGCCCCATTTCAAATCGGATGGCACCCGGATACAGTTTCAATTGTGCCCACTAAAACTTCTGAAACAACTGATTGACAGTTGACAATGTTCATGTTTGAATTTGTAACTGTTTTTTTTTTGGCATGTAGAACTTTGTCGGGAGACAAAGACTGAGAATAGCAATACACAATGTACTTCTTGAACCTGCTTACACTTAGTAATAACTCTTTCTATAGTTCTCTCCATTTCCATACTCCTTCTCTTTGTTAAAGACCGTAAGAGACTCGAAGAGCAATGGGCTGCTATAGTGTATGCCACAATGAACGCAGACAATATTGAGCTTTGCAGTTGCAATTTCAATGGATAACCTCCAATTCAATGTTATATCTCTGACCATTTTATGTCGTATCATTTTCTAATGGAAACTGGATCACATTATAAAGAAGCCCGGCATATAAGCCTGAAAGGCCTTCCTTCATTTCCCAAGATATGTTGTACCATCAGAAATTTCATCAGGCGCGGTAGTTTCACGGCGCCGAAATCGGATTGAAATCACGTTCGGGTGACGCTATAGTCATCAGTGACAACATTATCAAGGAGGACGTATCCGTTCATAGTGTCTGACCTGACCTTGCACCAGTGATTTATAAAACAGTTGACATTACGTACGTGCAGACTGTGCCGTCTGCTGGCATTCCAGAACTAAGTCCATTCATGACCAGAATACGGGACAGCCAGACTATTAAAAGACTTTTAAGATTCTGACAGGGTGTATGTTTCAACAACTCTGGGTTGTTGCATTTTATACAGTAGTGGTAGGTAACATGATAGGTAGCTGGCAAGTGTGTTACTGCAAATGCACTTAGTTTTGCAGTAGGAGGGGGAAAGGTTTTGCTGTGTTTTAAGTTTACATTTGAAACGATTCACGATGTCATGATGTCTCCAAATTTCACTAAATAAAACCACTGCAAATGTGAACAGATGGAGATAACAGAGACTGAGATAGCAGAGATTGAAGGTAGAG